TGTGTGTGTGTGTTTGGGGGGGGGTTGTTGTATGCCTTTGATGAGAGGTCGACGAGTAGCAGCCCGCGCTCGCGGTCGCGCACGAGCGCCGCGTGCCTGCGCGCAGAAGGCGACGCCGGCGTCGACCTCTCGGCCCTGCCTGCGCCATCTCTTGGCCGTGATCGCCTCCCGGCCGGCGAGGGGAAGGGCGGGGCTGGGCGGTGATGTGTGCGTGGCGAGACTGAGGGAGAGGGCGCGGCTGGGCGTCGATGCCCCTCCCTCTCCCCCCCCCCGCGAGACTGCGCCTGCGCGAGACAGACGGGTGCACGTCGCAGGCCGAGTGCTTCCCGAGCAGCAGCGCCGCTCGGCCGGCGGGCAGCGCGACCGTCTCGACGACGGTGCCGCCCTTGTGCACCTGAAGGGGGGCGGGGAGGGGGGCGGGGAGGGGGGGCGGAGCCGGTGGCTTCGGCGGCGGCGGCGTTTGGCGCCTGGATGAGGTCGCGAGCGGTGTGTGGTGGGTGAGGCTGCGAACGGTGTGTGCCGCAGGCTGCCCTTGCGCGCCTCGAGGCTGAGGCCGTCGTGCGGGTCGTCGGCGCGCGCGAGGTCAAACGAGGAGGAGAGCCACGCGGTCACATCCGCCCCCTCCCTCGCCTCGCTCCGCAGCTTCATCAGCGCCTTGCCTAGCGCGTTTGAGCCGCGGCCGCCGCTCACGCCCCAGAACGTCTCGCCCCAGCTGTTGGTCGCGATCAGGTTCTGCTGGTCCGTGCGGAGGAGTCGCTCGCGCAGCGCCGCGTCGCGCACAAACTTGTCGCGCAGCAGCGCCTCCATCAGCCCCAGCTTGCGCCGCTCCCAGTCCTGCGGCAGCGGAACCTTCTGCCCGAGCGCATGCGCAGCCTGCGGCGTCTTGGCCTCGCGGATCGCGCGCGCGGCGTCGGCGTCGGCGCCCGCCTTGGCCGCCTGGAAGGCGTGCTCCACCGACGCGTAGCGCACACCGCGGTGCACCACCGCCGCAGGGAACCAGTTTGCGAGCGCCTCCCACCGGCCGGTAAAGTCGGTGATGGACTCCTGTTCCTCGCTCGCGCCCCACGCGGCCGCCTTGCGCCGCAGCGCAATGAGCTCGGCCTCGACGCTGATCGAGCGCTCCGCCGCGTCGCGCGCGTCCTTGCGCTTGGAGGCGCGCGAGAGGGAGGTCATTATTCGCCTTCTCAGCGGAGCTGAGGCTCGCTCGGCGGCCTCGCAGAGCGAATGGCGGTGGAAATAAAAAGAACGCTCAGGGAAAGTGCTGCAAGTGCTCCAGCGATTAAACCGGGGCGAAGCTCAACTTTCTAGCGATTTGCCTCGCACGAACCACGGGGTCGGCTCCCCTTGCAGCCTTTCGAGGGGCGCAAATCCTGCCGTGACTTAACCCTAGTAGGTGCATAGTGTCGCTGTTTTCGAAACGGCCGCGGTTTAAATTCTTTTCTGAGGAACCGTCGCCCGCGCCTTGTCTTCGATTGTCTGTCGTGATACGTGAATCGTGCTGTGCGACCGGCACCGCGGTCCGCGGAGCACTTGGAGCACTTGGAGTGCAGTCATCAGCACACTGATCACGGAATTTCTTTTTGCGTATCTCTTAAGTGCCGGCCAGAAGATCCGCCCGAGGATCTTCGGCGCAGGGCGCCGTCACCGGCCCCATGAGCCGCCTGCGAGGCCATTCAGTGCTCATGTGGCACGGCCTGAGCAGGCCTAGCAATGCCTCGGGCCTCGACCAAGCAGCCCCCCGAGCTGAGCATCGTGACCGGCCTCACATGGCACCTGTTCCTCTCGCACATCTGGTGCGTCGCGCAGCTAGGGAGGCTGATCAAGCCAGGCCGCATCCAACTGCACCCCCCTAACCATGCAGGTCGACCGGTCAAGACGCCGTCGGAAACATCAAGAGTGAGCTCCAGCTGCTGGTGCCGGGCCTCAAGATCTTTCTCGACGCGCGCACATACCCTAGGGAGTCTGCCTCTTCCTATCTCTCTTCGCAGTCTCTCTCCGATTCTCGCTTCAACCTTCGTGCCACCTCGCGGCCGTCCCACTCTCGTCGCTCTCTCCCTTGTCACTTCCTCCTCTGTCGCGTCGTTCTCTTCTGCCTCGTCCTGCGGCGCCGCCGCCTGCCGGTCCCTTGTTCTCGCGGCTTCTTTCGCCTTTCGGCGCAACTCCGTCCTCCTCGCGGCGTATCCTGGCCCCTCGAGTCTATCGAGCTCCCCTCGCGCAAGGACCACATTTCTGACTCCCACTCCGATCATTTGCCTCCAGGTCATGTTGTTGCTCAGGTCCACTCTCTCTTCGAACACTCGTGCCTCTACGGATGATGCCGGCGCTGGACACCGCCTGTCTGCTGTGAGAGAGCGCTGTTTAATTCTTCTTTACGAATACAAGACGCCGTAGCGCGCTGCCAATGGTGGCCGCTGCCTCGGGCAGTGGCCACGGTAGCCGACCCAGGGCTCCTACGCGGCTACAGCCGTGCGCGACCGCTGCCGCTGGCACCGGTCGCGAGGACTCTGGCTCGGCATGCGCGCCACCGGCCGCCATTCGCTGTCGCTTGGGAGACTCGGAAGCCGATGAGCCCGGTGACGGCGGCGGCGATGTGTCGATCAAGTCGGGCAGGTCATCGTAGTCATCAGAAGGGACGATGCGCGCGTACTGTGGAGAACTGGAGCGCTGCCAGAGCTTGTACAAAGCAACGGCAAGCAGGACCAGGCCTGCGACTGCGTAGATGCTCCACATATACGTGTGCGGTCGGGCTTGCTCGGGCCTCGGCGAAGAGAGTCTCCTTGGCGCTTGGCTGCGTGACTGGTTTTCATAGTGAAAATCGGCGATTTCGAAGCGCCCGTGGCGGTTCGCGAGAAGGAGGGAGAGCGTTTGAGGGGGCTCACGGCAAGGACACCGACCGAGGGGGGGGTCGGTCGTCACACCTCCCGCCGCCGAGAGAGCGACCGACCGGAGGGGGGGTCCGGTCCACCTCGGGGGCAGACCACCGACCGGCGGGGGGGTCCCCACGAAGTAGGGGGGGTGGTTACAAAGTGACGCTCGTATAACGGAGTCGCTTAGGCGGCTCCGGTGGTGAGCCGGTGTGTGTGCCAGTCCGCGCCAGTCCGCGCCCTTGTCGTGCCAGTGTGCTGTGAGAGAGGCTTGTTTTCAAGAATTCTTCTTTAAATTCTTCTTTTGTCGAGCGTGCAGTCATGGCCATGACTCGCGTAGACAGTAGAGCTGGCGCTGCCATGGAGCCCGTCTCAAAGAACGCTCAGAAGCGCCGCGTCAAGGCGGAGAAAGCGGCTCTGAAGAAGGCTGAGAAGGCCGCGCGTGCCGCCGCTGCCGCGAGAAGCGCGTGTGCCAGCACCGCTGATGCCGCTGCCGCCGCCGCCGACGGCGACTCCGTCGCGCACCTCCTCGACTCGGAGCCGCTGTCCGGCGCGGACAAGTGGCTGGGCGGAGTGCTTGGCAGCGACGGCTGCGTCTACGGCGTACCTGGCCATGCGAGGAGCGTGCTGCGGATCGACCCAACCACGGACACGGTGCAGACGGTCCGCGGTGAGGACGAGGCGCTGCTGGAGGGGCGGTACAAGTGGCTGCGCGGCAACCTGCACCCGGACGGCTCCATCTACTGCATCCCCTGCCACGCCGACCGCGTGCTGCGGATCGACTGCTCCTCCGACCCGCCCGCCCTCTCGCTCGTGGGCGACCGGCACCCGGGCGAGTGGAAGTGGCACGGCGCGGTGCTGTCGCCGCACGACAAGTGCATCTACGCGATCCCGCAGTTTGCAGAGGCGGTGCTACGCCTCGACCCCGCCGCCGGCACCACCAGCCTGCTCGGAGGCCCCTTCCCGGGCGCGTCGCCGACGGGGCGGCACAAGTGGTATGGGGGGCTTCTCGGAGGAGACGGATGCATCTACGGCATCCCTCAGTGCGCCACGTCGGTGCTCAAGATCAACCCGTGGACGCAGCAGGTCAGCACACTCGGCGCCCTCCCACCCGGCGGCTGGAAGTGGCACGGCGGCGTCGTCGGGGCGGACGGGTGCATCTACGGCATACCAGCCCACGCGGACGAGGTGCTCAAGATCGACCCGTTCAGCCAGTCGGTCAGCCTAATCCCCTTCTCGTACCGCTGCCACCACCGGACCGACCGAAAGTACAAGTACCTCGGTGGCGTGCTCGGGCCGGACGGCCGCCTCCACTGCGTCCCGTCCGACGCCTTCTCGGACCCTTCTCGGACCCTTCTCGGACCCTTCTAGGCCGCATCTACTGCATCCCGTCCGACGCGGACCACGTCTTGCGGATCGACCCGGCGACGGCGTCGGCGGTCGAGGTCGGGCCCGAGATCTCGGCGCGCGCAGAGCACTGCCACGTCAACCTCAACTGCAACAAGTGGCAGAACGGCTTCCTGGCGCCCGACGGGCTCATCTACGCCATCCCGCTCAAGGCGTTTAATTAATTAGTCAGTTAATTAATTAGTTAGTTAATTAATTGAGCACGCCATCCCGCTCAAGGCGTTTAATTAATGAGTTAGTTAATTAATTGAGCACGCCATCCCGCTCAAGGCGTTTAATTAATTAGTCAGTTAATTAATGAGTTAGTTAATTAATTAATCCACGCCATCCCGCTCAAGGCGTTTAATTAATTAGTTAGTCGGCGGCGCGGAGTAATTAATTCGTTGGTGAGTCAATGAATCACGCCATCCCGCTCAAAGGCGTCGGCGGCGCTGAGTGGTCAGTTCGTTAACTAGTTGGTGAGTGAATTACTCCACGCCATACCGCTCAGGCGTCGGCGGTGCTGCGCGTGGACCCGATGCGCGACGCCGTGGACGTCGTCGGCGGCCCCTTCTTCGGGTTCGAAAAGTGGGAGGGCGGCGTGCTGTCGCGGGGCGGCGCGATGTACTGCGTGCCTCTCAACAGCAAGAGGGTGCTCACGGTCCGCCCGCGCGGCGGTCCTTGAGTCGTTCATTCATTGAGAAGTGAATCACGCCAGGTGCTCAAGATCTGCCCGCGCGGCGGCGGCGTGGCGCGTGCCTGCGACGAGGACGCGCAGCTGGAAGAGGAGGAGGAGGAGGAGGAGGAGGCCGCGCCGCCCGACGCGCTTCTGCGCCACCTCTGCGCCGGCAGTGAGTTTGGGGCGGCGGCGCGCGAGGCGCTGCAGCGGGACGGGTACATGGTGCTTCGCGGCGTGCTCTCGCGCGAGGCGAGATAGGGGGAGATAGGGGGAGATACGGGGAGATGCGGGGAGATGCGGGGAGATACGGGGAGAGGTGCCGTGCCTCGCGGCGAAAGAGTCGCTCGAGGTGCGAGGTAGGGGGAGAGACGCCCGCTCCCTCCCTGGAAGCGATGCTCGAGTGCGCCTGCTCCAAGCGACCGCCACTGTGCCACAGGAGTGCGACGCAGAGGTGGAGCTGCTCTGGCGGTTCGTGACGACCGTCTCGCCCGCCGTGGTCCGCGACGACCCCGAGTCGTGGTACCCGCCCGCCGACGGACAGCCAGACCCGTGGCCGCACTCCGGCTGGCGCTCGTTTGCCGACATGTTCCAGCACCACGGCGCGGGCTGGCTGTTCGGCAGCCTGCGCGAGCGGCTTGCGGAGCGCGTCTTCTCGCGCCTCTTTGGCACAACCGCGCTGCACGCCTCCAAGGAAGGCTTCACCTTCCGCCGCCCGACCGCTTCGCCGGCAGGGCGCGCCCACCCGGCAGCTGGCCGGCCGCCGCCAAACGTCTGCGGCCGGCCGCAGCCTACCTCCTGCGGCGAACACTTTGACCAGGGCGCGGCGGAGGCGGGGCTGCAGTTTGTGCAGTCGGCGACGGCCCTCACCGACCAGGCGGCCGAGGACGCGTGCTTCCAGTGCTGGCCCGGCTCGCACGCTCTTCACCCGGCGCTGGTGACAACCCGCGCGTACTCGCGGGTGTGCCGCAAGAAGAGAGGCGCCGCGAGCCGCGCCCGCGTGGCGGTGTGAGTAGGTGGGAGGGACGTGGCGGGGGCGGTCGCAGTGGGTGCCGCTCACGGACGCGGACCTCGCCGCGCTGCGCGCCGCTGGGCTCTCGCCGAGGCGCGTCCCCGTCTCTCGCGGCGACGTGATCTTGTGGCGCAGCGATCTGGCGCACGCGGCGGCGCCGCCCGCCGCAGAGTGCCGCACCTTCCGCGCCGTCGCCTACGCGTCGATGAGGCCGGCGAGCATGACACCGCGCCGCGTGGCGCGCCTCAAGGTGGAGGCGTGCCAGGCCCAATCTCGGGGACTCTCGGGTCCTCTCGGGTACTCTCGGGTCCTCCGCCTCCAGGTGGAGGCGTACCAGACCGCCGCCACCGGAGACCACAACCCGAGCCGCGAGCACTGGCATGCGCCGCCGGCCGCCGCGTCGGACGGAGCGCCGCGCTTCGCACACTTCTTCGCGGGCGGGCCGCCAAAGCTGACGGCGCGGCAGGCGGAGCTGTGCGGGCTGGTGGCGTACGAGGGCGTCACGAAGGGCGTGGGGCCGGCAGTCAACCGCGACACACCAACGTAGAGTGCGGCGGTGAGCTCGCCGGCGCGGCTCGCCTCCTCTCCTCCGATCGCCGCTCCCTCTCATCCTCCTTGGAGGCCTAGCGTTTCCTCCCCGTGCATGCTCCGCCTCTCCTCTCCCCTCCACCTCTCGTCGACTCCTTAATGGCTATTGGCTGGCGACGCGAGTGAGCAGGCCGAGGGCGGAGAGGGCGGCAAGGAAGAGCCTTCTAGGGGACCGCACCGGCACGCAGCATAGGGACATCGCGTTGGCGCGAATCCTCCGAACGTCGGCCAGTCGTCACTATTAGCGGCGGCCTGTTCCTGTATTGCAATCGGATCCCACTACGTCCCGAATCCCGCATCGATGATCGACGACGCCAAATTGAAAAAAAGAAAAATAGCCTCGGTGAAGCATCGAGTCATTGAATCGTTGAAGCATTCATTGCTCTTGCTTGATTGATTTCCTGGAAAGTGGGGGGAGTGGGCGCGGCAAGCGAGCGCAATCCTCGCTACCCAACGCGGCCAAAGGATATCCACCTCGAGAATTTTACAGCTCGAGAACCTCGAGAGAACCTCGAGAGCGGCTGTGAAGGCTGAGGGCCAAAAGCAAAGCGCGAAACGCCACTCTCGCATCTAAGAGCGGTGTTATATCTCAGTAACCCCGCTCGATGGTGCTAGAGCAGCGTTCTTCAAGCTTAAACCCCACTCTACACAACACAGAGCAGCGTTTGCCTAACAAGACTCCGCTCTGCAACCTTCAGAGCGGACTCTTGCTCAGAAAAACACCGACCAAACACGTTCGAGCGGAGTCAAGTCAGTGCAACACCGCTCAACATAGCGGGAGCGGTCAATTTCCGCGGAGAGGCTGCTTTCGCCTCCCTCAGTCGCGCTCTCCTTCGCTCCTCCTCTTCAGAGCGGGACTTTGCTAAGTGAACACTGCTCTAGCTAGTAAGAGCAGCGATTGCTTTAAGCTGACACCGCTCTAAATGGCGTGAGCGGCGTATCACTAAATGCGACGCCGCTCTGACTACTCGGAGCAGTGACGACCCACCCACACGCTGCTCAACCCCAGGGGCGGGGCTCGCCACGCCGCGCCGCGCGCCACGAGCGATCGAGGATCGTGGATCACCCGTCGGCGTCAGGTGGCATCGCCGTCCCGGCGTCCCAGAGCAGCGTCTATTCAGGGCGACGCCGCTCACGCCATTTAGAGCGGTGTCAGCTTAAAGCAATCGCTGCTCTCACTAGCTAGAGCGGTGTTCACTCAGCAAAGTCCCGCTCTGAAGAGGAGGAGGAAAGAAGAGCGCGACTGAGGGAGGCGAAAGCAGCCTCTCCGCGGAAATTGACCGCTCCCGCTATGTTGAGCGGTGTTGCACTGACTTGACTCCGCTCGAACGTGTTTGGTCGGTGTTTTTCTGAGCAAGAGTCCGCTCTGAAGGTTGCAGAGCGGAGTCTTGTTAGGCAAACGCTGCTCTGTGTTGTGTAGAGTGGGGTTTAAGCTTGAAGAATGCTGCTCTAGCACCCGCGAGCGGGGTTGCTGAGATAGAACACGGCTCTGAGATGTGAGAGTGGCGTTGCGCGTTTTGCTTTTGGCCCTCAGCCGGCTGTGAATTGATAGCGTCGACTCGCCGTTTGTTGGCTCGACGACGACGCCCCGGTCGGACCGATACACACGATGGAGTCGGACCTGCTTGGCATGCACCACGCCTCGAGCAGCGACCCGCACCCGATCCTTCACTCTGCGCTCCTCGTCCTCGCCACGCTCGCCGCCGTGGTGCTCGTTCGGCTGCTGTGGCCCGAGGCGAGCCGCGCGGAGCTGCTGTGGACGATCGACCCGCCCGAGGCGGCGCGGCAGCACATCCGGCGGCTGATCCTCCCGTCCGAGGCCATCCGCCTCCGACCGGTAGACACCTCCCCCACGAGCGCAGCCGGAAGCTGCGGTGACAGGAGGAGCGGCGGAGGCGGCAGCGGCGGCGGTGGTGGCGGGAGCGGCGGCGGCGGCGGCGGGAGCGGCGACGGCGGAGCCACTTCGCCCTCCCCCTCCTCGTCGCTGGGCGAGCGGAGCACGGTGGTGCAGCGGGTGCTCACCCGCGGCCACGAGGCTGCCAGCCTGCTTCGGTCGCCGTCCGGGAAGCAGCGGCCGCACCCGTCGCCGCACGCGTTTGTGTTCGACCCGACGGTGGCCGCGGCGCACGACGTGACTCCGCTGCTCGTCTTTGTCAACCCGGGGTCGGGCGGGCGACAGGGCCAGGCGGCGCTCGCGCAGCTCCGCTCGCTCCTCTCGCCACAGCAGGCCGTCGGCTCTAGGGGCTCGAGATCTGGGGAGAGATGGGGAGAGATGGGGAGAGATGGGGAGATCTGGGGAGATCTGGGGAGATCTGGGGAGATCTGGGGAGATCTGGGGAGATCTGGGCCTCTGCTCCGCCTGCGAGGGGCTGGCGTACTCGGCTACCGCACCGCCCACGGGGCTGAACCCACACTGGGTTCGACCACTGTGAGGGTATGGTACACGTAGGTCGTCGACCTCACCCTCGGCCAGTCCACCCTCGAGGAGGCGCTCCACTCGCACCATACCCCCAGAGTGGTCGAACCCAGCGCGGCAGTCAGCTCCCCGGCTGGTGCGGTAGGCGCTCGAGTCCTTCCGGACCGTCCGGCGCTTCCGCGTGCTGGTGTGCGGAGGCGACGGCTCTGTCGAGCAGGGGAGACGGAGGAGGGGTGCGAACGGCGTCTCTTCACACACCCGTCTAGCTGTGAACTAGGCGACGGCACCGTCGGGTGGGTCCTCGCGATGATCGACTCACTCCACCTCGACTACACGCCGCCGGTGTCCACCCTCCCCCCCTTCGGCACCGGGTACCCCGCCACACCTTCCCTTCTCCACACGCAGTCCTCTGTCTGTCTCCGAGGTGGCCATCCTCCCCCTCGGCACCGGCAACGACCTCGCGCGCGAGCTCGGCTGGGGCGGCGGCGGGCGGCGGGGCGCGCACACGCGGCTGGTAGAGCTGCTGACTGACGTGGAGCGCGCGCAAGTCACTCTGCTGGACCGGTGGACGGTGCGGTTCGGAGACGCGCGCATCGGGCGGAGGACAAACAGCGACCCGCCCGCGCGCACGCTCCAAAACTACATGGGGATCGGCGTCGATGCGAAGGCGAGGACTAGCTGCTTACTCCTTGCTTACTCATTGCTCGCCCGGTCACCCGAACAAGTAAGACTTGGGGATCGGCGACGACGCAAAGCTGATCACACGGCACTAACTCAGCACGAGTTCGTAAGATTAGTTCATGATTGGGGGGCCGACGCAAAGGTGGCCCTCGACTGGCACACGCGGCGGCAGATGGCGCCGCACCTCTTCACGTCGCAGCTGCGCAACAAGCTGCGCTACGCGCGGTACGGGGCCCGGCAGCTCTTCCAGGGCGGCGCCTTCAACTCGCTGCTCCAGCGAGCCGTTTCCTTTCTTACCCGCGTGTTTTCTTCTTTCTAGGCGGCGCCTTCAACTCGCTGCTCGAGCGCGTCGTCTTTGAGGCGGACGGCGCGCGGTTGCGCCACCGCCATTTCTTTTTCTGATGCCCGTTTTTCTTTCTTCTAGGCTGATGGCGTGCGGCTGCAGCTGCCCCCGGGTACGCAGGTGCACACGCATGTGTGTATGTGTGTGTGTATGTGCACGTGTGCATGTATGCTGCATACACGCATACACATATGCCATAATACATGTAGGGCGTCATCGTGCTCAACATCGCGTCGTATGGAGGAGGCTCCGACCTGTGGGGCGGGTACGCATCTCCCCAGATCTCCCCGCATCTCCCCATCTCTCCGACCTGTGGGGCGGGTACGCATCTCCCCAGATCTCCCCGCATCTCCCCATCTCTCCGACCTGTGGGGCGGGTACGCATCTCCCCAGATCTCCCCGCATCTCCCCATCTCTCCGACCTGTGGGGCGGGTACGCATCTCCCCATCTCTCCGACCTGTGGGGCGGGTACGCATCTCCCCAGATCTCCCCGCATCTCCCCATCTCTCCGACCTGTGGGGCTGTACGCATCTCCCCAGATCTCCCCGCATCTCCCCATCTCTCCGACCTGTGGGGCGGGTACGAGCCGCCGCCGGACGACGCCGACGTTGAACCGCTCTACGAACGACTCCATCATTCGTTCTGTATTGTTGGCCTCTAGGTACGAGCCGCCGGACGACGCCGGCACACCTCGCAGGGGCTCCGGCCCCTCCGCCCCCCCCCCCCCTGGTACTCTCGGGGACTCAATCTCGGGTAATCTCGGGCAATCTCGAGAGTAGGCTCCCGTCCCTCCTCCCCTCCTGGCCTCCCCACCGCCCCCCCACCCCACGGCGACGCTCCACGCGCCGCCGCCGCCGCCGCCGCCGCCGCCGCCGCCGCCGCCACCGCCGCCTCGCCGCTCTCCGCGCCCGACAGCCTCTCGGCCGCCGCCGCCGCCGCCGCCGCGCCCACGCGCAGCGCCGGCGGCGGGCCGAGTGCTGATTGGGCGGCGGAGGGGGCGAGGGGCTGGGACGTGGCGAGGGAGGAGTTTGGGAGAGGCCGGCTCCCCGAGCACGCGTCTCCGCCGTGGGCGGAGCCCTCGATGGCCGACGGGCTGCTCGAGGTCGTCGCCGTGCGCGGCGTGCTGCAGCTGGGCCTGGCGCAGATGTCGCTCACCGGCGCGACCAGGCTGGCGCAGTGCTCGTGCTTGTCCATCTCGTCGACGGTGCCGCTGCCGGTGCAGGTGGACGGCGAGCCGTTCCAGCTGCAGCCCGTCTTCGCCCCTCGCTCGCCGATGACGCTGACGGTGCGGCTCAAGAACCGGGGGTGTGAGATTTCTGTCTCACCGTGGTGTTCTCTGTTTAGGTGCGGCTCAAGAACCAGGCCGTGATGCTCTCGCGGTCGGACGTGCGCACCGACGGGGCCGCCCTCGGCGCGCTCGACTGGGCGGTCGAGCAAGGCGTCATCAGCGTGGAGCAGCACCAGGCGGTGCTGCGCGAGGTCGCGCGGCGGACGGGCTCGCTCCAGCGACTCGGACACCGCAGCGCGTCGTACGGCGGATCGCGCACCCACCTGCCCGTCGCGTCCTCCGGATCCACCTCCTCGCTCGCCTCCCTCGCGCGCGTCGCGGAGCAGCTCATCGACGACTGAGCCCCCGCGGGCCGGAGGCCGGAGGAGCGCGAGGAGTGCAAGTCATCATTGTTGTTCGTATGATCACAATTCTCATTTCTATTCTTGTAAAGAGTGAGCCCCCGCAGGCCAGAGGAGCGCGAGGACGCGCATCGGCGAGATTAGCCGAGATTGGCCGAGTCCCGAGAGATTGGCCGAGATGAGCCGAGATGAGCCGAGATCGAGCACGAGGAGCGCGCGACAGCGAGAGGACCTGAGCACAAGCTGCACCTCCCGTATCTCCCCGTATCTCCCTCTATCTCCCTCTATCTCCTCTTATCAGGCGATTAAGTTTCAATTATCGAGATCGCACGAGATGAACGAGAGGTGTGTGAGAGCGGAGAGCGAGAGGTGTGTGTGATGAGATATTTGATCGCGAGAGGCATGGATTGAGATCGAGAGGAGGCGATTAAATATTAGTTATCGAGATCGCACGAGATCAGGCGCCTTCTGCGGGGCGCTAGGGCGAGGCGGCGGAGGCGGCGGAGGCGCGGCGGAGGCGGCGGAGGCGGCGGAGTTGCGAGGCTGACGGCGGTGTGTGTGACGAGTTATATGATTGGGAGAGGCATGGATCGAGGACGAGAGGAGCGAGAGTTGTGTATGCGTGTGCGGCGCCCGCTGCAGGCGCTGCTGGCGAGTTTTGGTATGTAAAAGAACTGCACACCAGATTGTCGTGCACAGAAAACACGACGTTTTTTGGTCAAAAGGCTTTAGCGGCTCTACCTCTAGCTTTCTAAAGCCGTGTACCTCTCTCCGCCCCAAGGGCGCTCCGCGCCGTGCTGACGGCGCCGAGAGTGCATCACAGCACACGCGCGACACGCCCCTTGGCCCTTGCACGGCGTCTGATGAAACGGCGTCTCGAGCCCTATCCGAGTCGAAAAGTGTGAATTTTGTCTCCTCACACCTCGAAGCCGCTAAGTCTTTTTTTCGCCGTCAAGCCGCTCTAGCCCACAGCTTTGGGCGCGGTGACGCGGTTCGCCAGACGTGGAGCCGCAGGGCGATTTCCGTTCCCGGCACAAAAAAGAGGCTCTACGGGGTCTGACTGTGTACGGTCTGTGCTGCTGTCGGGCTGTCAGCGCTGCTGTCAGGCCACTGTGTGCAAAAAAACTGTTCCTGTTACGAAAAAGGGAGCTACCTGCTCCGGCGACACTAGGGACTCGGGCCTGATCCCGCACAAAACATCTCCACACTCTCTCCTCTCCTATCACACGACTCTCCGACCTTGGGCTAGATTAGATTCCCATTTGATTCACCACAAGCGATCACCGCGCGGCGCGCAGCCACGCCTCACTCGAGCAAAAGCAACGATCACGCGCACCAACACGCTTCGTCCGGGAGGCGCGCGGCGCGACCCGCGTTGCGAGAGCGTCGGCGGAGCCCGCGTGCTGGCCCTCTCCGGGACCGCCGCCGGGGCCCAGAGGGCGCAGATTCGGCCCCCAGGGTCAAAGAGGGCGGAGGGTTCTGACACCGCCAAGCGGTGCTTTCGTGGGCCCACGAGCTCGCGTTCATCCTTTCAAAAATATTTATTTACCCGCAGTTTGCCTCAAGTGCGCGGTGTCTTTTTCCGGGTCAACCCGTCATGCGGCAGGTGGCTTGCTTTGGCTCGCTGCCACCGCGGTGGGTCACCAAGAGCTTCTCCGCGTGCGGCGTCATCACCACGCGACGCGCTCGCCACGCCTCACCCGGGCAAAAGGAACGACCGCGCGCCGCCGCCGCCCGCCTCGCGTTGCCTCGCCCCTGCGCCTGCGCCTGCGCCTCGCCTTGCAGCCGCGCACGCGCACACGCACGCGCTAACGCCGCTCGCGTTCGCTACCGCAAAGCAACCCTCCACCCGAGTTTCGATCCGCGAACCGGCTCGACCACCGCCGCTGGCGGTTCTGCAAAGGCACTCAAGGGCAGTGCCTCATATAACGTGAAATAGTGCGAGCTCGCGAGATACTCACCCGACCCACCGTGCCCTCGCGAAGGAGATCTCGCGCCGCGCGCGCTCGCACACGCCGCCCGAGAGCACTCCCACCCCCGCCGCCCTCGCAAGCTCACAGGTTGAGTTGAGGAGAAGCAGCTGAGGGAGATCAAAGCGGGAGAAGGCGGCACGGCGGCGGCGGCGCGGCGCCCCCCCATGCCCACGCCTCCGGGTCGTGCGTACCGCCTTCGGGCGTGAGTGTCCCCCCAGCGTCTGCTCTCCAGCAGACGCTCCGGTAATCAGGCCGAGAGTACCAGGCAGGTGGGAGAAGCGCCCAGGGAGGGGAGAGGAGAAGAGCCCAGGGAGGGGGGAGGAGAAGAGCCCAAGGCGGCCTCCCTCTCCCTCCCCTCCCACCGGGCCTCCCTCTCCCTCTCCTCCCACCGGGCCTCCCTCTCCCCCTCCTACCGCCAAGCACCAACAGTCTCAAGGGGCCAGCCGCTGGAAGGGGCAAGCCAGCGGCACGAGGGCTTCAGCCACGCAGCTACCAAGGGAACGCGACCCACACAAAGCACCAAAGTTAGGCATACCCCCCGGCGCAGTGTCCCCCACTATGTGTCGCCGTTTGTCGGGGCACGCTATCCTGTGCAGTTGGGATATGCAACGGTGGCATAAAGTGAATGATACACCGTCGCATCAGGGCAAGTGGGTGCGGGGCGGAGTGCCCAGGCCTTTGTTTCCTGGGACCTCTCTGCCCAGTCCGGGGGTGCGTCGAACCTTCCATCACCGTGGGAACGTCCGGGTGTTGGAAAAGTAAAGATATGTTACTTTTTCCCTACAATGTACCGTACAAAGAGCTAAGAGGCCAACGGACCAGCAGAAATTTCGAAGAAAAACGTGGGAGACCTCCCGCGGGGCACACGCTCAAGTACATGCAACGACGCGCGGTGTGCGCACGCAGCACCCTCTTTGTCTCCCCTCTGCCTCAACCCTTCCCAATCTAGGACCCCAGCGCTGCCGCCCGCCAGCTGGCCGGCGCGCGCGAGAGAGACGCCTCGCAGGCAACTACGGCCACGGCGCCTCGCTGTGCATCATCCCCCTCCCTAACGCCTTCCCCCAAACTACGCCTCTCCGCTGCCTCCAGAGAAGGAAGGCGCGCCGCGCAGCACACCGCTGCGCGAAGGCCCCCATCACTGACCCAATCCCGTGGGGATCGCCGACGCGGCAAACGCCTCCCACCCCTCCTCCCCGGCGGGTCGCTGGCGTGGCGCCCCTGCTCATGTTCATGTGAATTGCTCAAGATGGCGTCTGTGTGCTGTGGCGTCTGCCGTGAGTGCGGCCGCCGAAGTTAGACGTGCTCCTGCGAAGCCTCCGCCGAGGCCAAAGCCTCCACCGAGTCCACCGAGACCGTCGCCTCGCCTCCAGAGCCGTCGCCCGCGGTGGTTGCCGTCGCAGAGCTGCGGCGGCTGATCTTGAGGAAGAGCCGGCTGCCGTGCTCGGCGATGCTGGCCGAGAGGCGGCACATGCTTGCGACGCTGCCCGACCGAGCGGGAGTCGCGCCGAGGTCCTTTGCCAGAAGCGCGAGCGACACCTGCGGACCGGAGCGCCCTGGCTGGTGAGTACCGCCGATGCGCAAGGCGAGATGTGGAGAGAGACGAAGCGCGCGCCGGGTGGTGGCGCCCCGGGAAGCACGAGCGCGCGAGGTCCTTGTAGAGTCCGTCGGCGATGAGCTCCTGCAAGGGAGGGTACGCGGGTGAGGGGAGATTAAGCACCTGAGACTGAGAGCATAATGACCAACCCCAGCCCGCTCCTGCGGGGTGACTTCGAAAAACTTCGAGAAGAGGCAGCCACCGAGGTCCGGGTCGTTCTCGTGCGCCATGACGATCTTCAGCTTGTCTTTGCGCGCCTGCTTGACCTGCTCGGCCAGCCGCTCGTCGCTGAAGCTGTCCTCGTTGAGGTAGAGCAGCATGTGGGTCGCTGACCCGGGCGCCTCGGCGGTGGAGATCGTGAGACCGGCAAAAGTGGTGGCAATCTCTTCAGCCAAGACCTGTGCACCCGCGTTGGCCGGCGAAGCCCAGAGCATGGTGTCCTTGGCAAAGGCGAGCGGCTGGCTCTCGGGCTCGCCCGGCACGCAGAGCGGGAGGGAGCTCTGGTTCACGTAGTTGGGCGAGCAGAGGAGCACAGCCTGTGGTTCAAGGGTGCCGGGGCTGAGGTCTCGGGAGGGGCGAGAGGGCTGCGGCTGTGTCCCGCTGCGCCTCGACGATGGTCTTGAACGAGACGCGCTGGAACTCCTGGATTCGCATGTAGGTGGTGTGCGCCCAGCCCTTTTCAAAGATGTCGGGCTGCAGGTCCTCGGGGCACTCGTCGCGCAGCGCCTGCAGCGTCGCGCCGCCCTTTGCAGGGTCCGCCTCTTGGACGAGGACGAGCGGCTTGCTCTGCTCGAGCGACGAGCGGATCTCGCGGAGGCAGTTCTGGTGGCACGCAAGCAGGCGGGCGGTGAGCCGTGGGGAGTGTCGAGGGGCGCAGCAGACTCGGGTGCGTTGAGAGCCAGAGGATCCCCAGCGCGGGACAGGGCGGCGAGAGCGCGCCTTGGAGCGGAAGTAGCCACACGAGAGGAAGAAGAGGATGACCTGCGAGTGCTGGATGTACTCCTCCAGCGACCCAATATCCTTGAGATCATCCACCTGTGCGCACTCCGCGGTGCGTCAGAAGGGCTGTGTGTAGCTAGAGCAGCGCGGCTGAGCCTGTGCGCGCGTCGAGAAAGATCTTGAGGCCCGGCACCAGCAGCTGGAGCTCACTCTTGATGTTTCCGACGGCGTCTTGACCGGTCGACCTGCATGGTTAGGGGGGTGCAGTTGGATGCGGCCTGGCTTGATCAGCCTCCCTAGCTGCGCGACGCACCAGATGTGCGAGAGGAACAGGTGCCATGTGAGGCCGGTCCCGATGCTCAGCTCGGGGGGCTGCTTGGTCGAGACGAGACGGACTGTGGGGACCTTGGCGACGCGGCGGGCGGCGACGACGGCACCGATTAAGAAGACCACGAGCGCAAAAACGACGAGGACGATCATCGTGTCCACGATCC